ATGGCCTCCAGGTCTCTGAAAGTGATGCCATCCAAGGTAAGAACCTAACCTTTTGTATTCTTTAACTCTCCTGCTCCTGTCTGATGGCTCTGTGGCATTGTTATGGTTTTATTGCCCCCTGCGCATTTGGTGAGGTCAGGGGTTTATGGCCCGTGGGGCTTTGATTTGAGCGCAGGGACTTCTGGAGTTGCGTGTTCGTGTTGTGCGTCTGTTAGTGTGTGTTTGCATCAAATGACAGGCTTGTACTGATTTCTCGTCAGTTTGCATAAATGTTCACGTCCCCCTTTGCTGCGGGGGTGTCACTTCTGCGTCTGTTTGTCACTCATGAGGCATCGAGCATCTGTCGTTGTGTTTTTGCGCATATTTTACGCACAGGATTTGTTTGCCTTGATGTTTTTAGATTCCACAAGAGGTGTATTTTAATTCATGGGATTTATATAATGCAATTGGGAAGGAAACGTAACACAGTCGCCTATAGGTTCATATAGCTCCAGTGTGTGACAGAATGTGAATAATTCCTGGTTCAACAGAAGCTTATTATGCATTTTGTCCTGGCTGCGTTTCTGTGGTTATAAAGTGTTGCTATGGCCTATAGCTTTTAATGAGATACTGTTGCATGCACGCTTCTTAGAGTGTGTGTTGGTGTGTGTGTTGTGTGTGTGTGTGTGTGTGTGTGTGTGTGTGTGTGTGGTGTGTGTGTGTGTTGTGTGTGTGTGTGTGTGTGTGTGTATGTGTGTGTGTGTGTGTGTGTGTGTGTGTGTGTGTGTGTGTGTGTGTGTGTGTGTGTGTGTGTGTGTGTGTGTGTGTGTGTGTGTGTGTGTTCTTAATTGGTTGGCCAGGTGCTATCAGGCTGTGGAGACTGCAGTGGGAATATGAATAATACCGCGCTCAATTGGAGAGAGGGATGCAGGGGAGGAGGGGAGGGCGAATAAGACAAATTAAAAGAACAGGGGGAGCTCTGGTTAATGGATACTCTCTCGGTTGCGCTTCAAAACAATTTACCTCGAAAACAAACGATCTACAAGCCTCTCCAAATGAACTGCGAACGATCGCCGGTCGCGGTGCGCGCGCTCATCTGCTGAGCCGAGCAGCAGCGCGCTCACTGCTGTTTGACCCCTCCAGAAATCAATCTGCCCGGGATTAAAACTAAAGGGCAGCGGTTGTGGTTGGGGGGGTTCTGGCCTCATGGGGTTACAGGATGTGCGCAGAGGTAAGAAAACACACGAGAGAAAGAAGGGTATCGAAGGAAGAGCAGCGAGAGAGGAGGAGAGGAATCGATGTTCGTGCAGGCAGTGGAGTGGCCACAGAGGGTTCAACCAGGGGACACGCTTTCCTGACCGATGAGGTCCACAGGCTCTGAAGCCAGAGGCTGACCCGTGTTTACCCCCCACCCCTCTCAACACACACACACACACACACACACACACACACACATACACACACACACACACACACATACCCGTGCCTTCCCCCTTGACCTCGCGAGGCTGCTGGTCCCATCGTTCCCTCGGACATTCCCAGACCTCCGGAGCGCCCCCTGGCCACTTAGTCACAACAAGCCGAGTTCAGGGCACTGTACCCCGGGGGCACGGCGGCCGTATCTCCGCTCCCACCCAGACAGACAGACAGACAGAGCCGGGCAGAGGTCAGCCACAGGCCACTGCTGACTGTCAGCTCAATGAGGCTGTGTTGATGACACTGGCTGAAATGCACCATAGTATGGTTAACATTATATTATAATGTCTTGCTCTTAGAAAATATATATGGTTTTGTACATTTTGCGTTAAAGCAGCTCTCCAAGTGTTGATGAATCTGTCCTTTGAGAGGAGCTTCTGTCTCTCCCTGAAGCCTGGAGCAGTCTAATACAAGCTGTTGGAGACATGCTAACTTTAGGATGTGCTACGAAAGGGTCATCCAGTCTGATGTTGGATAGTATTTGGACAGACATGAACCTTGGTGTAAACAGAGGCTGCCCTTCCTGATTGCCTTGCTGAAAAGCTG